ATATATATATATACTGAATTTCAAAGACAATATGAAAAACAAAATATCTCAATAATGTTTTTATATTAAGGTTGAAATATTTTGGATGCATTAGGTTAAATAAAATGTTATTAAAATAATTTCACTTGTTTCTTTTTACTTCTTAAATGTAGCTACTAGAAAATTTTTTATATTAGATATAGCTGTTCTAGAACATAGGATGTGGCTGCCATGAGTAGAGTGACTGTAATAAGATGGTTAGTTGCCTGGCTAGAGTCTGAATGAAGACTCAGGCCTGGGTAAGGAGAAGGGTGACAGAGTTGAACTGGCACAGCTAGAGGCAAAGGTTTGAGGTTGGGGGGGTATATGTCACTAAACAAGGAATGTAATTCCAGGTGACACAATGGAAGTGGAGGAGTCAGTTCTTGTTCTGCCCTGCTCATGCCTAGATAACTCTTACTTTCCCCTAAGGTCAGGAGTCTCTTCAGCTAGAAAGCCTTCCATGACTTAGGTGCACTTCCATTTGTATTTGTGCAGATCTGTTTCCTAACTTAACCCGTTAGGATAAAATTATGTTTTCATATCTGCCTCTATACTCCCAACCTTCATCAAAATTTTGCAAACTCTTTGAGGGCAGGGGCCTTGTTCATTATCTTTGTACCTGGAGACTGGGACAGAGTAAAAACCAATAAATGTTTGTGGGGAACTGGAAGAGGGAAAAGGAATGGGAGAAGCTCCTCTGGTCAGTCTCCAAGAATCACGTACCTACTTGAATCCCTACTTTATTCCTTTCTGATCATGAGAGGGCAATGCTGAGATGCCCAAAGAAGTGGCAGATGGGATCTGGGCACCACAGTAGGCAGGAGAGGGGAGATTTCTGTCCTAGGGTCTTCCTAGACCTTCAGGTCACATCAGAGTTGTTCTGTTTACAAAGACTCGCCTTAGTGAGTACCCACTCTTTTCCCTGCTTCCCTGTGACTACGTTTCCTTACTCTATTCCACTTAAGGAGTCACAAGTCCAGGTGCACCTTCCTACCAGGTATGCGCCCTCTCACTTCTTTGTAAGGCCTAAAAAATTCCCTGGTGGGGGATGGTCAGAAGACTAAGAAGACTCTTCTCTAAATTTAAGTGTGGAAGTCAGAAGGTTAGGAAGCAGAAGTGACAATTTATGTATCTGGGACCGAGGTTTTGCTAGCTCTGTCTGCAGTCCCCTCACCCCTTTTCCCTCCAGTGCTCAACTAGTTCTCTGGATGCCCCAGTCTTCTTTCTCCACCTCATCCTTTCTGATCTACTCAGCACTTTCCCAGGCCACAGCAGTCCAGGAGAACAAATGGAGTCATGCACAGCATCAATATGATGGTTTCCTTGGATCATGTCTCCAGTGGTTACAGCAGGACACACAGAAGTTCTTCTGAGCATACCCTGGGAATGTCTCATGTGAGCCCTCTCCTTTACCATGTGCGTCTCCAGGGTGCTCCCTCCCTCCTACTTAAGCCCCCTTTAGTAAGATTTTCTGCCCCCTGCTACTTGTAAAGCCACATAAGTATACTTGCTGGCTCCCACAATGGTAACAACAATGTATGAGGCCAGAATTACATCTTTCTGTTCCTAGAGATGCTTGTATCAGCAACAGCTGACAAGTTACTGGAGACTGTAAAATAACAAAGCAACACAAGGTTTAGTACCAAAGCAGGGAGAATTTTTAAAGTTTCTTTCAGAAGGGTGCTAAATCAGTATTCTTGGTTTCCCAGTGTCTTATATCTTACAATACCTAAGGGAAACAGTTCCTCCATTCTAACTGCTAAGATTTTCAAATAAATGAAAACCTATACTACTTGTATTCATCTTTATTTTTACCAATATAGTATGTTTTTTTTTTTTGCCCGCATTACATGGAACTTCCCCGACCAGGGATCAAACCTGTGCGCCCTGCAGTGGAAGCACGGAGTCTTAACCACTGAACCACCAGGGAAGTCCCCAGTATAGTGCATTTAAAGATATCAAATGGTATTTCACAGTTGACCCTACCCCAGCCCTCTACATTCTGAATTTCTGCTCCCCAGAGACAACTTCTTTCTTATCTTTTAAGATAAATCTCTTCTGGGATTTTCTCCCTATTTCTTTTTTTTTTTTTACGGTATGCGGGCCTCTCACTGTGGTGGCCTCTACCCGTTGCGGAGCACAGGCTCCGGACGCGCAGGTTCAGCGGCCATGGCTCACGGGCCCAGCCGCTCCGCGGCATGTGGGATCTTCCCAGACCGGGGCACGAACCCGCGTCCCCTGCATCGGCAGGCGGACTCTCAACCACTGCGCCACCAGGGAAGCCCCCCCTATTTCTTAATAGCATGCTTATACTCTAGTTCTTGATTTTTCAGTCTGGGCTATTATTTTACTTCTTGCTATAGGAAATAAGCTATGTACTTACACTCCAATGTCCTCTCATAAACACATGTATTATTTCTCCACCCTCCATCCCTCAATATATCTATATCATCTTACTTAGGTAAATCACAGTTCCTTACATTATTATAACAGTGTACATATTTATTCATGGTTGAATAAATTAGCATAATATGATTTCATTTCCTTTTTTTTGACTGAAGTTAGCCATTGCCTCTTTTTCCATGTTTCTTAAGTATTTAGCATTCAAGTATCTATAATTAATTTATCCCAAATTCTCAATACTTTCAAACACATCAGGTAGCCTAACAGTTTACTTATTATTTTTTTTTTAATTGAAGACAACCCTCCAGGGCTTCATCATCTTCCTTCATTCTGGACTAGTTATTCTTTAAGCCCACTGCACAGGTTTTGCCCTAGAATAA